TACAGTAAAATATATCTGATGTCAAATGTTTTAATACATCAGATAGATTTTACTGTACATTGAGTAAATTGGATTGTCAAGCAATTTTCTTTATATTAAAACACGACATTTTGACATTCGATTTAAATTAAAAACGTTTTTTTTAGATTTGGTAGAAGATGGTCTCATGTCTTTTGTATGGTGGTAGCCACAAGTAAATAATATTTTTCATTTTTTATGGGTCAATTTCAAGAGTTTCTTTATTAAAGGCTTGTTTGCTTATTAGGAAATCAGACAAATTATCTTATTTCAAATTTTTAAAGAAATAATCGATCAGCCTATATGCCTGTAGTGCATGAAGGCAAATAGTTCATTTAATAAAAACTTTATTTTTATAATGCGTTTTTTCTTGTATTTTAATTATGCAAAGTTTAACTAAACAAAAGTTTTACTTAATACAATTTTAAAATGTTGGAACCTTTACAAGTTTTTGTTTAAGTATAAGTCCGAAAACCTTAAAGATTCCAGAAAAACGAACAAAGTCAGTTTTTAAAAAATCTAAAATATGAACAATTCCTTTACAACGTACCAAAAATTACATTTTTTACAACAATCAGTCCTAAGCATATTTCCTTTAACTTTTTTTGAGGAAATGAGCTACATTTTCTGCAATAAAATATTAAATTTCTTTATTATTAGTTGGGGGCAAAATGTAATTTGGGGATCGAGAAAACCAGCTTTTTTGAGAATTATAGGTTAAAGGTTAAGAATATGACATTAAGTATATTAATAAAATCTATAATATCAAAATAAAATAAAATATTTAGAAACTTTTCTAAGAGATATTAGCGTAAAGAATAAGAATTTAACTTTTCGAAGGTAGTCTTATAAACACTACGTGGCTAGTCTTCATTATCTTATAGAATAATTTGAGTTTAAAAAATATATAAGTATAAAAAGGATAAACACTTTTATAATTGGAGATTTTAACTTAAAAATTAAGATTTAAATCACTCTAGAATCAGTTTTTGATTTTATAAATTACACAAATATCTCTTCAAGATTAAAAAAAATATTAAGTGTCTTAAACGATACAAGGATAAACGCAGTTAAATCCTTGGATGCAGTGTACAACGCATTTATATATAAAGGTATGTTCAAACAGGATTTATTACAACCCTCCATGCAAAGATGGCAATACCCGATTCACTATAGTACCCATAAAAGATATGTCTGATAATTTAAAAAAGAATTATTTTCAATTATGGGCTCTCTACAAATTAGTTACTTTCACAATTCTGCTGCAATTGGATTTATCACAGTTAGACATGTTTCAACCTAGAAAAACGACAATATATTACACAATACACATATTTAAATAAATACAGGTTACAAGGGTACCGTTGTGAATCAGGCATTGTCATCTTTGCATGGAGGGTCATAGAAATTACGCTAACAGTCCCTGTCAAGGGATTGATCAACGATTTGAAAATACAGATTTTCTATTGAAGAAACTCCTCTTTTTGAAGACATATATAATTAAAAGTTTTGTATTTGTTTTGCAAATGTAAATTTTCAAAATCCAAATTAAAGTTTTAAAATTGACAAGATTAAAAAACACCATATATATAAAATATTAACAAATGACAGTTGGTCGACAGTAAGTATCTTATTTTATCTGATAAAAATTTCCATATGTTACATCCTTTTTCTGTTCGTGGAACAACAATACTTCTGTAATTAAGTATTTTAACAAGCAATTTTAATCTGAAAATAAACCGGAAACCTATTGTTTAGGGACACTTGATGCAGATTATTGAACATTGCTGCCCTATAAACCCAAAAACCTAAAAATACTAAAGCTTTTACATAGGTTTACGCAATTTTAGGTAATTTCAAATACCAAAACATGCGCAAATTCAATTATTTCATTTGAGCCATATTCTGAAATGAATGTTAAGAAGTAAAGAATTTGCGCATTTTTTGGTATTAGAATTGTAACTTTTCATTGTACACAACAAAGCGTTTATATGATTAACTCTGGCTCTGGTTCTGTTTTAAAATCCTGTTAGTTCTGAATATTTTTATTCAACTTTTAAATCATAAAGGAGCACAAACAAATTGTATCACCACAAAACATCAAAACAAATCTTATCAGCGACAAAACTTATTATCACAGAACTAATCAAAGTAACTCATCTAACAACAATGTGTTTTGTGGTGAATAAGTTTAGTAAAGATATGTTTTGTATTTGCTCCAATTTTACAGAGCCTGTTGCTCAAATCACTTACTTTTCTCTAATTAAACCAAAAGAAAAGAACGAAATTATAATATAGTCTTAAAGGGACAGACCGGCTATTTAAGGTAGTTAAAATGAGTATGCAGTGTTATAGACACATTCTTTAGGATTCATTTGAGACATATTAAACTTTTTAAAGACCTGTAAATCCCGAGTTTGAGCGCAAAGTCGACGTTCGAAGTTGTACTTTTGGGTGGCTTCGTTTTCCGAATAGTCTTTTTTTTAATTATTAAATAACAACGACAAAAAATGTAAACAAAATTCTACATTAAACTAATTAATTGTTTTGTAATCTTATTCAATTATTACTTTCTATAATCTCTCTTTAATCACTAAGATTTTCTGCAGATTATCTGGAATTTTTATTAAAAAGACGACATTTTAAGAATTTGAAGAAATTTGCGAACAAATTCAGAGAAAATAAGAAGTTCAATATAATGATGAAAAAAGAAATAATTAATTCTAACTACGATTTATTGACAATTTTCTTTTGAGAAATATTTTCCTAACCACTTAATAAGTTTACTATAGAATTTTTACTATATTTTTCGTTGTCGTTATTTAATAATTAAAAAAATCCGATTCTGAAAACATCCTCACCCAAATTCATGATTTTGAACGTCGTCTTTGCACTCAAACTCAGTATTACTATTTATACATCGTGGAAACGTTTTATATGTCTCAAATGAATCCTAGAGAATTTGTCCACAACATTGCATACTCAGTTTAATTTCCTTACAAAGCCGGTCTGTCCCTTTAATCAAATGGTATTGTTCTATTGATATGTTTGTATGTCTGCAAATCTCAAATGAAGCCTCATCAAATGAATTATTTTCCTATTTTAGAAAGGTGTTTATTTAGCGTTCAGCATACATCTGTGTCACAGTTTCGTGCATATTATAGTAAGTAATCATCTATTTATTTTTAAATGATTTAGTGCTTAACTTTTTCATTTCAAATCTTCTTCCACTGTTTAAAGCTCCCTTCAACCCCTGGCAGGGTATACCATTATCCATTCAGGGTATCGAATAAAGATTAAATACAATTATATCGAGTCTTAAATCTTACTTTTTTCCAATGTGGAGTAAGTCGAGTGCTGAGTTTTAAAGATGATATAATATAAGCCTGAAGGATTTCCATTAAGTTGAGTGCTGAGTTTTAAAGATGATATAATATAAGCCTGAAGGATTTCCATTAAGTTGAGTGCTGAGTTTTAAAGATGATATAATATAAGCCTGAAGGATTTCCATTAAGTTGAGTGCTGAGTTTTAAAGATGATATAATATAAGCCTGAAGGATTTCCATTAAGTTGAGTGCTGAGTTTTAAAGATGATATAATATAAGCCTGAAGGATTTCCATTAAGTTGAGTGCTGAGTTTTAAAGATGATATAATATAAGCCTGAAGGATTTCCATTAAGTTGAGTGCTGAGTTTTAAAGATGATATAATATAAGCCTGAAGGATTTCCATTAAGTTGAGTGCTGAGTTTTAAAGATGATATAATATAAGCCTGAAGGATTTCCATTAAGTTGAGTGCTGAGTTTTAAAGATGATATAATATAAGCCTGAAGGATTTCCATTAAGTTGAGTGCTGAGTTTTAAAGATGATATAATATAAGCCTGAAGGATTTCCATNGACCAATACTTTTTGAGTTATGTAAAAAAAACTACAGAGGGGGGTCAAATTCCCCCCCCCCCCAGCAGGAATAGGGTTAAGTTCCCATTAACAGACTTCAGAATTTTGTTGCTATTCATCCACTAGAACTTTTAGTCCCCTATATGGTCCCTACATAGTAAGTCTGTTTAGTCCTTAGCAGTGTGCAGTTCCTGAAAGTAATTTGTGACGATAGATTAATAACATTACAGAAAGAACACTAGATGTCGTCTTTATAGGGTTTTCCACTGCAAACTTGACAGAAGGAGAAGGTCAAATTCAAGCTATATTTCTGGTCTGACTTTGTGACCTCGTAGATCCTTTTGTTAGGATTTTAGGAACAAGTACGAGAACAGTCAACATATTCGTTTACATGTTTAAAATTAACTATCTTTCGTCTATCCATAATCCATATAGTCATTCTGTAATGAGCCTCTGCCCTTGTGTGCTAGTAAGGGGCTACCCTAGTTCTCTTATAACCTGCAAACGTCATAATCGTCCGATATAATAAACTAATTATGACTTTCTCTCAGTTGAAAAATAAAATAAAATAACAAATTCTATGAGAAATGGCGCGCGAAGCGACAAAGAAAAATGTATTTTTTGTGTAAGTGGGCAAAATTTGATAAAAGATGGTCCACAATCATGATAAATGAGGGGGTGGGGGAGAAGGGGCAAAATATGTTGAGGGGGGAATCGGATTTACCCCCCTTCTCTAGTTGCGGAAAAGGATATGAAAAACAATCTAAAAAGAATCAAGATTAGACATGAAAGAAAATAAAAAAAATAAAAAAGAATAAGAATAAGATTCTATAAAAAGAAGAAATGCTGTAATTGCGTACAAGGAATACGTCCGGTATATTTGGCAATATTTCCGTTACGCATAAACTGCGTATAATTGGTAAGCAAGCTAGGCAATCCCTCGTGTGACTACTGCGTACAGGCTTCGCTAATTCCTAGCTGAGCTTATATATTTGACATTAATATATTTGATATTAAAGGGAGTCCCTAAAATATATTTGACATTAATATATTTGATATTAAAGGGAGTCCCTAAAATATATTTGACATTAATATATTTGATATTAAAGGGAGTCCCTAAAATATGTTTGACATTAATATATTTGATATTAAAGGGAGTCCCTAAAATATATTTGACATTAATATATTTGATATTAAAGGGAGTCCCTAAAATATATTTGACATTAATATATTTGATATTAAAGGGAGTCCCTAAAATATATTTGACATTAATATATNAACAATACCCTTCAAAGCTTTGTCTGATCAAGTATTGCATT